TTTAAAATTCTTTAGTATCTGCATTACAAGTAAATATTTTCAGCATTGTAATTTTTATTAAAAATGATTTGGGGCGGGGCCTGTGGCTCAGCGAGTAGGGTGCCGGACCCATATACCAAGGGTGGCAGGTTCAAACCCGGCCCCGGCCAAACTGCAACAACAACAACAACAACAACAAAACCGATTTGGGTCCTTATTGACTTGAATTAGAAAAACACCGTGTTTGTTCTGTACTTGTAAAGCATCCACTACTACTATGAAAAGACCTTTTTCCCCCTTTTTAAAATGGAAGATATCAACAGTGAAGTTCTTCCAGTGCACATGCCTCATGCTCAATGGGCTATGCATACACCCTCGCATCCCCCGAAGACATTACTGCATGCCCCTGCCAGGCCAAGTCCCCTGTCCCACAATCACAGAGGTAGCTTGTTCTCTGTCACCATCAGTTAGTTTTGCAAGACACCCATTTCTTAAAAAGAGGATTAATTCTACCTCTTTAAGTAACAGGATATTGTTACTTAAATTCTCCTTTGTTGAGATACACCCTGGGGAATGCCATCATTCCTTAAACAAATGTGATTCTTAAGATGCTTTGTGGCTTTTCTTATTCAATCTGGGGTCAACAAGCCGATGGTCTCCTCCTTTTTTATTATGTAGAAGGACTGTATACTGGGGCAGCTGTACAACAAATACTTTGGCATCCCTGTTTAATGATTCTTTCCCATCCTCACTTTTGTTCCCTTGCTTTTGCTGGTGGTTTTCACACAGGCCTGGTGCGAAACGAACCTGCGAAGGTGCATCAGCGAGCAGCATCGCTTTGTCTGTGACACCTGCGATAAGGCATTCCCCATGCTCTCCTCCCTTGCCTTGCACAAGCAGACCCATGTCGCCGAGGACCAGGGTCAGGAAAAACTGCAGGTCAAGACCCTGCCTGGTGACGCCCTGGACCAGAAGGTCTTCCTGGCCTTGCTGGGCCTGCAGCACACCAAAGATATAAGGCCTGTCCCTGCCGAGGAGCCCCCGCCAGACGACAACCAGGCAATACAGCTCCAGACACTCAAGTGTCAGCTACCTCAGGACCCCGGCTGCACCAGCATGCTGCGTCTGTCTCCTTTTGAAGCTGCTTCCCTGGGCAATTCTCTCACTGTCCTCCCAGCAACCAAGGAGAACATGAAGCATCTGTCCCTGCAGCCCTTCCAGAAGGGCTTCATCATCCAGCCAGACAGCAGCATTGTGGTCAAGCCCATCTCTGGAGAGTCAGCCATTGAGCTGGCTGATATCCAGCAGATTCTGAAGATGGCAGCCTCGGCTCCCCCTCAGATCAGTCTTCCGCCTCTCTCCAAGGCCCCTGCTGCCCCACTGCAGGCAATTTTTAAGCACATGCCCCCTCTGAAGCCAAAGCCCCTAGTCACACCGCGGGCAGTGGTGGCCACCTCCACACCCCCGCCTCTCTTCAATGCCCAGCAGGCCTCCCCTGGGTCCATCAGCCCCAGCCTCCCGCCACCACCCCTGAAGCTGCTCAAAGGCTCGGTGGAAGCAGCCTCCACGGCCCACCTGCTGCAGTCCAAGTCTGGGGCCCAGCCAAACTCAGCCACACAGCTCTTCCTGCAGCAGCCGCGAGCAGAGTTGCCCGGCCAGCCCGAGATGAAGACGCAGCTGGAGCAAGACAGCATCATTGAGGCTCTTCTGCCACTGAGCATGGAAGCTAAGATCAAGCAGGAGATCACCGAGGGGGAGCTCAAGGCCATCATGACAGCGCCTGGCAGCAAGAAGACTCCTGCCATGCGCAAGGTGCTCTACCCCTGCCGCTTCTGCAACCAGGTGTTCGCCTTCTCCGGGGTGCTGCGCGCCCACGTGCGCTCCCACCTGGGCATCTCGCCCTATCAGTGCAACATCTGCGACTACATTGCCGCTGATAAGGCCGCGCTCATCCGCCATCTGCGCACTCACAGTGGGGAGCGGCCCTACATCTGCAAGATCTGCCACTACCCATTCACCGTCAAGGCCAACTGCGAGCGGCATCTGCGCAAGAAGCACCTCAAGGCCACCCGCAAGGACATCGAGAAAAACATAGAATATGTGAGCAGCAGCGCGGCAGAGCTGGTGGACGCCTTCTGTGCCCCGGACACCGTGTGCCGGCTGTGCGGGGAGGACCTGAAGCACTACCGCGCCCTGCGTATCCACATGCGCACGCACTGCGGCCGCGGCCTGGGCGGTGGCCACAAGGGCCGCAAGCCCTTTGAGTGCAAGGAATGCAGCGCCTCCTTCACGGCCAAACGCAACTGCATCCACCACATTCTCAAGCAACACCTGCACGTGCCTGAGCATGATATTGAGAGCTATGTGCTGGTGGCTGATGGTGGCCTAGGCCCTGCAGAGGCACCGTCTGCCGAGGCCTCGGGCAGGGGTGAGGAGGGAGGCTGCACCGCCTTTGGGGACCACAAACCCCTTGCGGCCTTTCTGGAACCCCAAAATGGCTTTCTTCACGGGGGCCCCACCCAGCCTCTAACGCCTCATGTCTCAGTTAAGTTGGAGCCTGCCAGCAGCTTTGCAGTGGACTTCAATGAGCCCCTGGACTTTTCTCAGAAGGGCCTGGTCCAAGTAAAGCAGGAAAATGGCTCCTCCTTCTTGAGCCCTTCCTCCTTGGTCCCCTATGACTGCTCCATGGAGCCTATTGACCTGTCTATCCCCAAGAACGTCAGGAAAGGAGACAAGGATCCAGATAGTCCCACTGAAGCCAAGAAGCCTGAGCAGGAAGCAGGGAGTGGCGAGCAGCCCTCTTGTCCACCACCCACCCCTTCCCTGCCAGTGACTTTGGGGTCCAGTGGGATCCTGGAAAGCCCCACCGGCCCTACAGTGGCTGTTACGACAGCCACCACCCTGGACCCCCACACTCAGCCCCTCCAGGGCTCTGTTCAGCTGGCTGTCCCCATCTATTCCTCAGCTCTTGTCAGCAGCCCTCCCCTCTTGGGCAACTCAGCCCTTCTTAGTAGTTCAGCCTTGCTGCGGCCACTGAGGCCGAAGCCCCCACTGCTCTTGCCAAAGCCACCTGTGACAGAAGAGCTGCCTCCACTGGCCTCCATTGCCCAGATCATCTCATCTGTGTCCTCAGCTCCTACCCTGCTGAAAACCAAGGTGGCAGACACAGGGCCCACAACCACCGGGAGTAACCCAGCTTCAGATGGCTTAGGAGGCTCCATCCCTAAAGCCACCACAGCCTCCACTGATACCACAAGCCTAAAAGAGTCCAGAGACCCATCCCCTCCTGCCAGCAGCCCGGAGGCACCCTCACCCACTGAGCAGGGGCCAGGTGGCCCATCAAAGAAGAGGGGCCGGAAAAGGGGGACAAGGAGCCGGCCCCAAGCCAACAGTGGGGGGGTGGACCTAGACTCCAGTGGGGAGTTTGCTAGCATTGAGAAGATGCTAGCTACCACGGACACCAACAAGTTCAGTCCATTTCTGCAGACCGCAGA